AATATTAATTATTTTATTAATTATTAACTATTTAAATTAAGTAAATTTAATATTTGTAAAATTAATATTGTATCACATTAATATTATATCATGTAGTTGAATAAAAAAAAAAACATTATGCCGTGTGATCATAAATTCATAATCAAACCGGTGATACTCATGCTTTATTTTAAGATTTAGTTGTGGTTGTTGTAGTTTGTCATTTTCTAAACCTCAAGGAAAAAAAATTAGGCAAAATCCCATTGAGCTCTTTGACTTTTTACCCCGAAATTAACCCAATGCTTTCTTTTCCCTAAATGGGAAAATCTAAAATAAAAAGATCTAAATGACTTTTTATTTTAATACTACCCAACTTGAAAATTAGGTACAAATTTATAATAATATATACGTACATTGAGATCTGCCCATATGTCATATAAGGTGGCTAAATCGGGTCCACGTATTAAGAAATTTTTAATGTGATTATTTTATTATGAATTTTTTATTTTGTATTTTAAATTATATCAGCAGCTCTATTTCATTTAATAATTTAAGCTATATTGTCTAGATTGTATAAAATTTTTAATTATTATGGTGCTATTTTCTAAATAAGAATGAAAGGAAAAAAAAAAAATTTTTCAAGTAAAAATTAAGGGAAATTGATATTGAAGTTTTGTTTCTCGAAAAAGTAGGGGAAATAAGTAACGTATGACGCGCAGCGGCGCAGACGCGCTGTGGAAGTGAGAGTGTGGGAAAATGAAACTCAATTTGGCATGGCGAGGTGGCAGGTGGTTGGAGGTGTAGGCGTGGCACGACGCACATCGGGATGCTGTCCGATGGCATGGTGACAATTGACAATTTGGGTTCTTAATTTCAATTTTGAGGTGATGTAATTGTTTTTTCAGGTTTTTTTTTTCCTTAATCTTTTCAAGATTTAGAATATTAGATATTTTCTTGTTGCTTCATTTTATTGTTGCACTATTGAGTCTTAATTTTTTTTTCATATTGATTATATAATAAAAGGTAATTTTTTTATTTTTTATTTCACTAAATTTAGTATTTTTTATTTTTTGTGAAAAAAATTATCACTAAATTATTTAAATGGTTAATAAAAAATTAATATTTTAAGGATGTTGAAAAATTATAATTTTCAATAAATTCTGTCTCAAATGTGAATGATTTTTTTATTAGACTAAAAAAATCGTATTAATGTGTTGAGTATAAACTGATATAGAGATTGTTGGGTAGAGTTTTTAAATAAACTTAAAATTTAAAAAAAAAATTAATTTGGCATCTTAATTGGTTCAAAAATAAATTTGAGAAAATTAGGAAATTTAATTTTTTTTTTCTCTAATAGATTTTTCAAAAATTTCCAAAAACTTCTACCGACCACAGTACTTCTAATATTTTGTTTAACTTGTACTTTCAATCAATGTAGTATCATTGGGATCATCAAATTAACCCCACAGATAAATTTCAAATTTATAGGTAGAGAAAAAGACAAAAAAAACTTATGAAAAAGATAAATTAAAAGTTAAACTAAGATCACAATCTCCCACCTTCATAACCACCAAAAAAAAACAATAGAAAAATCTCAACCCCCAATCAAATTGAATAAATCACCCTTGTTATTACCATGGCCAAATTTCATCTAAAATATCATCTTGGAAGCTCTAAGTCCGAGTTGGTCCAGTCGGAAAATATCCAAAAAAAGTGCGATACTTAAGCACAAAAATCAAATATTTTTTTCTTTCCTCGTGATAAATTCATAATCTAATTTTGCAATAGCCTATATAATCACATAATATTAAATATATAAAAATTAATTTAAATGCATAGTTAATGAGAAGAATTTAACAAAATTGCTGTCCTACAAATCTGTGAATCACTTTTTTTTAGAACACGGGAGAATTTTGAAAAAATGAATTTTTTAAAAAAATTATTAATAAAAGTCAAATTTTTTATTAATTAAATTCAAATATTAAAATTTAAAATAAATCATTAAACCCAAAATTCTAATTATGTGAATCACTATTTTTTAAGATCAAATTACTACGAGTGAATCATTTCGTACTATTCTTCTTCTTATGTCCCGAAATAATTGGGAGAATTTTGTCAGTTTATGTGACAGTGCTCACCGGAGGTCGTTCGTTATCACAAATTTTTTGTTTTAAAAAAATAAAAATAAAAAACCTCATTTTCCTATGTATCTCCCCCAGATCGCATTCTTAACCATTCCTTTACATCTAGAACCTATCTGGAACATAATCCAACGATCCTAAAACCACTATTATTTTCAACCAGACCCCACTTCCTGGGCCCCTAAACACACTACTCATGGCTCATTCCCTTAGCACAGATTAACCCCCTTTTTTTTTAATTAAGGTGTAAGGTCAAAAGATTAAAGACAATATTCCATGCAAATCAAAATTAACAAATTCATAAGAAATTACGGATCTTTTGCTTTCGGGTGAGATTCAGCAATCATAAAAACTAATTCATTCCTACCTTATCAAATATTACAGTACCATATATGGATATGATTCATATGAAAAACCAAAGCAGAAAATTATTTTGATTTCCTGATTGGATTACGTACTGGCATCGATCCTAATTAATTTTATGTTCATATGAAAATCACAATATAAGTTACAATAACTATGATAGTGATAAGCAAAACCCCATGATATTATGATGTAATTCTACTGTCATACCCATAAGGCGCCAACTTCGACGAGCTTGGGGACGAGGTGGCCCGAGACGTGGAGGGCGACGAGGGATTCGAGGCCGCCGATGCTAGTGCCGCCAATGAAGACAGCAGGAGCGGGGTTCTTGGCCGAGAGGCTGTCTTGGGCGGGAGGGGACGGGAGGGAAGCGATCTCGCTGTCTTCGAGTTCGATGACGGTGGGGTGGACACCGATGGTGGCAAGGAGTTTCTTCATGACATGACACATGCAGCAGGATGATCGGCTGAAGATGATTACCGGGTGCTCTGATATCAGCCGCTGGATTCGGGTCTCTACCGATTCTTCCTCGTCTATGGAGAGACCGCCGCTGGTAGCTCCCATGGAAGGAGGATTCAGGTGGAGTCGTACGGCGTCGTCGGAGCAACTTCGTAGGTCTTGCATCGGAAGTGAAAAGAGTGAAAGAGTTGTGGGCGTGTGGATGTCAACGGAAGCTAGTGGGGGAATTGAGGGGTGGGGAGAGGTGATTAATAAAAGAGGTAAGGTAAGGTAAGGGTGGGAATGGGGATAGGGGAGTAGTGGGGGGGTGTGGTCTACTTACGTCATCAAGGACGCTCTTGGCTGTTATTACATAGGTTTTTATTTTTGGGATCGTGAGTTCCTGGAGACAAATTTAAATCCCACGCGCTGATTCCTGTTCTTCCCAGTAAAATTAGCAATTAATAAGTCCTCATATTTTTTTCCTTTTTGACATATAAGTATCCTCTGAATCGTAAAAGTCAACCAAGGACATTGATTTGCATAAAATTAACATCTATTCACTAGTTTTAAACCTTTTCACTTGTCTTCTGCTTATGTGGGATTTATTTCTTTTAACATGACGAAGTAAATTGCATAAATTTTTTTGTTATCTCCTAGCTTCCTTCTTTGATTAATAGTGTCATGTCAAGGGAAATAGATTGAGACTCTTTTTTCACATGTGAAAGTCCAGAGGCTAAGCTGTGACCAAAAAGAAAAAATGATAGAGGGGGTCAATTGTCGATTAAGAAAAAGTTGATGAATTCTTGGGACCTTTTCTTCTTTTTTCGAGCGTGGATTTCACGAGTGAAGACAGCGAGTGAGGGCTGCGTTCCGGGGCCAGATAATACGGTTGTCGTTCGGAAATACTGGACGATTGCCGGAGAAGTGGCGTGGAGCAGTCACATGGGGGGCGGGGGGGAGGTGGGGTGAAACCAGTAAATGACGGTGACGTCAGCTTGACTTTCACGTGGAACCGCGAGATTGAACGGTGACGTAGCCAAAAGCAAAAGCGGAGGCATTGTAAAAAAAGAAAGACACGGC